TGTTGTGTATCTCGATCCTTTTCTTTTTCTTCCGATTTTCCTCTCTACAATCGTGCACGCGCTCTTTGTCCCTGTCTGCTCCATTGCGCGCGCTTTCTCTTCGTCTCTGTCGTGTTTCGTTCTCTTCGCCTCCTCCTTCGTTTCTTCGCTGGCTCGAGAACTCTGTGTTCGGAGTCGTTCTTGTCGTTTTGCTACTGTTCGAGGCAAGGTGACGCCGCGCCGCCTTGGAAGTTCGACGAATCGAAATGTGCACGCCTAGCGCGTTTAGATTATTACAGTCGACGAGAGGGGCCGCTTTGTGTCGACATTGAATCACGTACGCGGATGAAAGATTAAAGTCGCGCGCGCGCCACGATTGAAGGTGGATCGTCTTTTTGGCGCGATCGAACTGTCAATCGCAACCAAGAATGGAATCTCGAATAAAGACGGATCGAAAGTGTCAAACTCAGCTGGTGGAGAAAGCGTGCTCGAGAAATCCGAGACGATTCATCGATCATCGGAATACCACCCAGCTTGACTCCTTTAACAGGCGAAATTCAGTACACTTCTAAATCGATTAACTTTTCGCGAGGTTGTCGTTGGCGAGAAGTAAATGTTAAGAATAAAATGGCGGCTGATTTTTATATTTGGGACAATAATTGTTCGTTATTGATTCCGGTGTACCAAAGTCGATTTATTTCTTACGATTTCTAATTTGGAAATAAGTTTGAAAACGATAGCTCGGATTGAAGTGGTAACGTGTGATTATATCAAGGTGATAATGTATAAATGTTTTCTTATCCAATATTCTTCGAGCAAATATTAGTAATAGGTTATTTAATATTCGATGATAAAATTCTGACTTGTTCAATTTGTAACGATTATCCGATATTTAGATGAATCATCGATTACAAAAGTATATTTTTATCGTTTCTTTAATTTAACAATCTCGATGTTTCCGGTTCCTTTTTAAAATTTTAATCTGAACATTTTACAAATAATTACGTTATTAATATATGGAAGTTAAGATCAATCTATGATCAATTTACCTTTAAATAATACTTAAATTACATAGTTAAGTTACATTAGGTTAAATAAAGTAAATCATTAAATAATAAAAACTATCATTTCTTTCTACAACTCTAATTCTCATAAAAAATTCTCCAAATAAATGCTTAAATTTAAGTAAATATGTTTCAGCGAGTACTATAAAATTTTATCAAATGTAAAATAACTTTTTCGGTATTTACTTCAATTATGTAGGTCACCCGAGTGCGCTTGATTTTATTGCCGCAACTAAAAAACAATTTCGTTTCCAAGCGAAGCACCCTTAAAGTTCTTTCTAGCTAAAATTTTCCGAACAAATATTTCAAATGTGAATTATTTGTTAAGTATAATACAAATACTTCGCGTCTTATTTTCGGCCCTTAAAACATACATATTCTACGTTGAAAATCTTTCTTCAAATGTTCCTCGTAGTGATGTTTCCCTCAGTTAAACACTAACTACAAGTTTTTTTTTATTAAGTGCAAATACTTTACATTGATCTTAGTGCGCTAAAAAATCTTTTGGATCGTTAAAACGCACATAGTGTGCATTAAAAATCTTTCTTCAAACGTTCCCCATGGTGATGTTACAAATACTTTACATTGATCTTAGTGCGCTAAAAAATCTTTTGGATCGTTAAAACGCACATAGTGTGCATTAAAAATCTTTCTTCAAACGTTCCCCATAGTAATGTTACAAATACTTTACATTAATTTTAGTGCGCTAAAAAATCTCTTCAAATGTTCCTCACAGTAATATTACAGATTCTTTACATTGATCTTAGTGCGCTAAAAAATCTCTTCAAATGTTCCTCACAGTAATATTACAGATTCTTTACATTGATCTTAGTGCGCTAAAAAATCTTTTGGATCATTAAAACGCACAGAGTACCTATCCATTAAAAATCTTTCTTCAACCGTTCCCCATGGTTAAACGCTAACAAGTTTTTTCAGTTACCTTCTTATCTCGATCTGTACGATTGATCATAGAAACGTTGTACGTTCGCGTTTCCCTGCGCCATTATCATTTACATCTAGTTTTTCTGTTCGATGTAATCTCGCGGTTGTTAATTATGCAACGAACTTCACGAATTCGTGATCTCTCTCCCCCAGCAGGCTCCCTCTCCTCTCTTCTCCAGTATTCGTGACATCAGGGTTAGAAACGATAAGTATACTCGTAGCGTAAGAAAGCATGTAATAGTTTCCACTAAGCGATCTGAGATTGCGAGAAGGCATGCAAAGTATCTCGAGTTATTCGAGGCTTACGATTGCATTTTCGAATTGCTGTACTTCGTTTCTCTCGCACGGTTGCCGCCAGAAACGAGGAGAAGGGTGGAAACGATGGAAAGAGAGAGAGATAGTGAAGCTTGTTTCTTAACGGTGCATAATAATTATTGCGTTGTCGTACACCCCGGCAAAGCTTCGAGATGTTTATTACGCCGTTGGAAACGAGCTCGTTGAATATTCGACCAAAAGGGGGTGGCTTGCATCGTGAATTCCGCGGCGCGCGATCGTCAAAAATGCGACGAGCGTGAGCCGGGGGCTCGTTCGCACAGCGGGGAAACTCTTGGAAACTCGCCGTGATCGCGCAGATTAAATATTAATCCGGACGATGTTCGGTATTCAGGTAACAATGGCGGGGGATTCATCTCGTGTTACATCAATATTAATTGCCTCATCAGCGTGTTATCGGCACATAAGAGAATTCCGTTGCAAACCGGAAGACGCGTACTACTTGCCGCTCCTTTCAACATTCTCCAAGAAGGATAATTATCGCGGTAATTAATTTTTCCTGCTCTTTTTTCGCTACTTTTCACCGAGGCGTTCTTTCTTTTTTTTTTTTTTTGTGAAATACGCGAAATTAAATTGGATAACCGTTTTCATACGCGCGACAAAATAAATTGATCTATTTGCGCGGCTCACTTTTGCACGCGAATTAATAGGCAAATATTCGAAGGATTCCGGTGAAATTTCCGCGCGCACGCAAACGGAGCGAAGCGTTTATATCGCGAGAGGGGAGACATAAAAACGTAACCGTCGAAGGCAAATATTGTCAAGTGCAAATCCGCGATTCGTATCTCTCGTATTACTGGTAGCGTGCCATTTATTCGGCGCAAGTGAACGAGAGCACGATTTATGCTTAGTTCGGTGATAAACACCGACGGCGTAGCCGTGTGTTGATGTACATACACGTTGGCCAGATAACGACCTACTCTGTCGTCGTATTGCTGCTTCTAATGTGACATTTGGAATAGAGATAGCGCGTTCAGCTTAAGCCTGCGTGTGTTAGGTTTTCAGACACTTTTTTTTTTTCTTTCTTTCTTATCGGTCGCTGGTATCGTTGGAATTAGCTTAACCACGGAACTAATTTCTGTTCCTCCGAGCACACTAAAACCTGGACGATAATTGAATTAACGCGGACGGGAGGAGCTGCGTTGTTCCCCCTTCTTTTCTTTTTCACGCTTTCTTCCCAGATGAGGGGGAAATTCCACCTGAACCTTGGGGGTAAATAGAAATGAAATGGGACGAAATGATGGAGCATTATCTTGCATTAACGCATCCAATGGCACCCCCGTGAAGTTTAGGGGGGGGATTGGCGTATGTCTCGCGCATATGTCACTTATGCCAAAGCTTTCCGCATAGGAGGTTCCATATTTAAGACCGCACATGGCGTTCACGTGATTGTGTCCCTTGCAGTGCTTTTGTACCGCGTCAAAGTCTCGTGGCGTTAATAACGCGTAATTAATAACTCCTGGTTGACACATTTACGCCCTATTGTCGAAGGAATTCAAAGGAATTAACATAGCGAGGATCGATTATTTTTGGCACGAAGGCGGAGCTATTGGTATCAATAGCACCAGTCGTATCAGAGTTTAGGTAACGATGTTGTTACGATTATGCAGTTTGCATAGTTTGTGACGGTTATACAGACGCGTTAATAGTATGCATATATTGGTATTTGATAGGTTCCCAATCATTCATCATAGAAGCGCTCTGTATGCGAAAGATTAGCGTTCAGCGTTATGTAGGTATACGCACACGGTTTATTGCAGAATGTCGATTAGCGATCGGGGTAATCAAACTGTCGTTTAAAAATTTTTAATTAGCGCCGTCCCGCTGCCGCTCGATCGTCTGGCTCGATCGAATAGGATATTGTGTATGTTGCACGTGAATAACGCTTATAGAATATGTATGATATATTGAAGCGATAAGTATCGTACGGCTGTTCTCTGAAAGTATATACGATAATTAATATTCGAATATTATGATTATTTTCTAGCTTCTTCTGCGTTTCACGACTTTCATAATCGACGAGTACTTTTATCGTATTCCCGACCGTACGAAATGTTCACTTTTACCAAAGCGGTAAATTAAGTAAAAGACTCGTGTATATCGTGGTGTCCTTTTGTAAGAAAGCAGTAGTACGTGTTAATCACCTTACAACTTCGTCTTCTGTACAGTTTTCATTCAGCGTCAAAGAATATTCTTGCCCCTTTAATGAAACTTTTTACGTCTGGTAAATACCGCGATGTCCCAGATGAAGAGAACCTTTTCTCTTCAAATTCGTAGTTCCAATGATGAAAACTCGTTAATGCGCGTACGTAGTAGGTATGGTATATAAACGGAAACTGTGTGACGAATGGTTTTTAAAGGCTTCGCTTTTAAGAGGTCGACCGTTTGTAAGGGGTAGAGAATTATAGGGTGGTG